TTAGGTGAGATACTGTCTCATAAACTTTCAAGGCAGCTAGACCGGGCTAGGTAGGGCTGGATTAAAGGTGTCGAGCTAAGGCAATGACACCACTGAGCCAAAAATAAAGTGATTTTGGTCCATCTGTGCCAAGTTACATTACGCATAATGGTCATGCAGGAAAAGTACAGTATACCAGCGGTTCACTCGAGTTAAATAGTCCTCTCTTTGACTAGCCACTGCTTTCTTCTTTTTCCTTTTTTTTTTTTTTTTTTTCCTAACATATGCTGAACGGGCAATGTTTCTTGTGCCAGTGATACTGTTGAAAACTCCCGGCTTCACTCAAGCCTGCAAGAAGACGCTTGCACGGCATATTCACCTCCTATGAATCTCGAGTTTTCGCAACGTATGCTCGCACAAACAATATGTTGGATCCCCCAGCCATGGCTGAAACGGCCCACGCTATTCGACGCCGCCCAGTCCCTGAACCGATATATGTCGCCATGCCGCAAAGTCATCATGGGGACCCTGGTGAGACTGCCGTTGCTCAAATGAACGCTGCCAACATCAATGCGGGGATCCGTGCAAATCATGAGTTTGCGACTCGGCGTGCGGGTGGAACATATTACGGGACAATCATAGCATGGGATATGTACAATGAGCGGGAGAATCCACCCTACAGCATGGCGCTGTATGAATTGGGGCTATCACGCCAGAAGTTCGACGTGATATGCGATAAATTACGCTTTACGTATGATAATGGTCGAAATGACATCAATTGGTTCGCAACCATCTTCTTCGGAATAACTCTTTTACCTTGCGCGCTCTGTATGCTTCCTTGCGGCATATTTCCAATCAGGGACGAGCATAAGGTCGCACAGCCTATGGCCATATTGATATCCAGCATCAATCGCGAGTTGCAGGCTGATGCGCTACCTATAGCGTTGGCGTTCAAAGTTCATATGCAACTCAGACCTGTCTTGCATGAGGTCACCTTTCATCACACACCTCTGTGAAACATTGTGCAAAAGTTCTTATCAGCAACTGGAAGCTAGTTCCCTATGAAGAACATTCCCTTAATCCAGAAATAAAAGGCTTGATTTTCCACAGCTTGTCTTAGTAATCGGCCTTCTTTTTCGTTTTAAAAGGATTGGTTAGTTGTTCAGCAGATAGAGGACAGTCCTATCAAGCCGATCTTCAATCCCCCCCAGGTTTAGTAGTCTAAAGCCGGTGTTATCAAGGCAATTTTGTTTCCGTAACCCCAATGCACATAAGTGCAAAAGTAGAGAGTGGTTATTGGAAAAGATTGCTTGCACGGGGTTAATGTTAGTAACTCGCCTGCTTATCCCCGTGATCTAATAGCTACCAAGCAAAGCACTATTGCTATTGCTGGAGAACTATATGACAGTGTGCCGTCTACGCCTAGGTATTACTACCGGGCCGATTCAGCCTTCCTTGCTAGTCGTTCTAAGCCTGGGATGGAAGACAAAAAGTGTAAAAATTCCTGACCGACCTTCGCATAGCCGTCGTATTATCCGATCACATGGAACGAACACCTTGAGAGATACGATTGGAAAAAGACCAACTACTGAGAAAAGATTCAATAAATAAAATCGACAACGGCCCACAGACATGACTCAGATAGAAGAGCATAATGGACTAGGCCTGAATGTGAAACTTTTCCCATTTGGGCAGACAGGTCAGAATAGCTAGCTATATCTCTGGTCTGTCTCCGTTGTTGCCTTCAGTGAGAATGCAAGGCTTCATCTCCATATTGTTATTGAAATAAGGACCCTCCGTCATGCTATAGTTTGAATCGCCCTTTCAAAAGGACCGCCTAATCACTGGTGCCTTCTGCGTCGCATCTGTCCTTGCTTTAGGAAGGCCGAATGACGGAACGGGGCTGGGCTCGGTTCGACTCGGTCTGATTCGGAGAAGATACAGCTGAAGATGGCCGAAAGTTGTTGTAAAAATGCACAGCAGGTTCTCTTTGTTTATTTACTCAAGGAGATCAGGACATTCTATCAGGGCTGAAATGGGCGGAACATGAAGATGAGGTTAAGGTCATCCTACAGACAGGAGGAGGGAATATATTCACTGCTGGACTTGATTTGAAGGATAAGTCCGTCGCGGAACCGGGCACTGTGATTAGTGACCCCTTTTTGGACACAATAAGGTACAAAGACTTGAAGCCTTCCATTAAGCGGATGCTGATTATCACGAAGGGAATTGCACAGGACCATGATCAATTCCAACAAAATCCTCGTTGCCGCTGTCAATGGACCGGCGCCTAGTTGGGGAACTACCAGTCTTGCTTTGGCGGATCTTGTTTACGCCTCTCCAAGCGCGGTATTCTTCACCCCTTTCGTTAAATTAGGAATCGCCGCCGAAGCGTGTTCCAGTATAACGTTCAGCAAAATCATGGGTCATCAAAAGGCGGCCTCGCTCCTTCTTGCTGGCGACAAAATGACAGCTAATGAGCTAGAAAACGCGGGATTGGTTACGAAAGTTCTTCCCATGCAGGACTTCCTGGAGAACGTGTTAGAAATATGTTATCGAATTGCGAGCCAGCCTCCTGAAGCGCTGCAGCTCAACAAGAGTCTTTTGATGCGGACTTCCAGACAAGAGTTGCTTGATGCGAATGAAGCAGAATTGCAGATTCTCAGGACAAAGGCGCAGAGCCCTGAAGCCCGGTCGGCTGTCAACGCCTTTGTTTCTGATCAAGGGCGAAAAAAACAAAAGAAAGCCCAATCCAAACTATAAACTACCACGCCCTTGCATCGGTGTTCTGGTCAACTCGACCTGTTCGCAAATCTGTTGGAATCTAGGTTCATCTGCTTCATAAAATGCCGGTGTATGGAACCTGGGCTACTGAACCAATGCTCTCGTTCCTCTGATTCCACTGATTCCGCTCACAAAACCGTGCGCAGTATACTTTCAAGAATTGAGGTTCAGCAGCTTTCGAATATAAGTAGATTACATTTCCCACCTTTTGTAAAGATATACAGAATCACCACATTTGAGAACCGGTCATTCGCATCGAGCATCATAGTCCACACTTAATAGCTATAATGTGCGTGCATTCATTTCCAGTGGTGCGAACACAATCGCAACCATCCCCTGGGGACAAGGCTCTTGGCTAGGGATATCCTAGCATGGTATAAACGCCATGAAACTTAAGGGAAATCATATGGTTCGAATTACAATTTGGCAGATCCAGTTGGTAAATTGGTTCCAGGGACAGGACATGGCCACTCTAATGGTTTTTGACTCCTTCCTGCTCCGGTCCGTTGTGTAGGGCAGCGAATGCTCCCCGATTCGGACCGACTCCGGAGGAGTCCTGCTCAGGCGGGACCCACTGAGTCTCTAGCAGGATATGCTCGGAATATTAAAGTCAGCACATGTGCACGGTGTGGTCGGCACACTTGAGGAAATGCGCTAAGGTCTTGAGTCAAATCGCCTTTGCTCCCGAGTAGGGGCTCGAGTGTCTGCTGCTATACACCTGGCAAACCATAAACCTAGCCATAAAGGCTCTTCATGGGGGCTTGGGTTAAAAGGGAAAAGGTCGGAGCAAACGGCCCCCTCAAAATTGTTACGGTAGATTGCACGATCCACGCTCTTCGTATGATAGTAATCACCAAATACGTAGCTTGATCTTGGTAATCATATTTGCGTCTATAGTCCTGAGTCGTGTTTGTGTTGGGAAAGATGATCCTGACCAGAAATTAGGTCCGAGAAGCAATATTGGAATAGATACTCCCGCAGTCAGAGGTATTATTGATAATGATTAACTACGCAAGCGCATGCACGACTGATTTCAGTTTTCAGCGTCTGCTGACATAGCGCTCAAGCTCAAAAGAAAGGAGTGGAATGTTCATATGATTAAATACATCAATCCATCTATTGAGAGTCGAATAAGTATTTCAGAATACCCTAGAGCTTCGTGGGTTCAGAGCTGTTTATCCTTTTCATATTGCCCTTTGTTTGAGCGGAAACTTCGTTCCACCAAGGATAGGTTTGTGGTGCATTTCTCTCAAGCACGTCACTGAAAGACGGCTTCCGCTTTTCAAAAAAAAAAAAAAAAAAAAAAAGCCTTTTTAAACTCAAAGGTGGTCTCTGTTTGCCCCGTTAGTAAGTAGTGACCTTTAGCAGCAAGAAATGTGTCATAGTACCCACCTTCCGCCAAACATATCGTACAACAGACGACTGTCAACTATGTGAGCTCCCTCGATAGATCCAGGATTTCTCCACATCAGCTGCCGATTGATGTGGACTGCCATCAAACTGACGCTACCTGCAATATTCGCTGCGAATTCGATTGCGCGCGGTAGAGCCTCTTTCGGTTCCGAAACTAGCTCTGCAAATATTCCATGAAGCACTGAGGATTCGGCAAGATATGTTTCACCTGTGGTTAAAGGATATTTCGCGTTGCTATACCCAACCATGCGTGGAAGAAAATATGAACTGCAGGACTCCATCGTAATGCCGATGCGTGAAAATGGAAATCCAAAGCTGGCCTTGTGAGGCGCATTCCTAAGGGAAGATTCAGTTGTCAACGGCATCCAAAGTATCGGATCTCATCAGCGTACCTGATCCCCGCCGCCAAGGTCGATGTCATTCCAATTCCCACGGAAAGACCATTGTATGCCACAATGACTGGCTTGCAACAGTTGAACATGGCCAGTGCAAGAGATCCCCCTGGGTCACGCATTTCGCTTAGAGGCGAGGAATTTTTCATCTGGCTAGTGTCCATTCTCAGGTCAATTCTAGCACTGAAAGTATGTCCAGCACCCGTTAAAATGACAACCTTGACTCGTTCATCCACAGCAAAAGTTTCAAAAAGAGCCATGAGATCCTGTATCATGTTCAACGTTATCGCATTGAGCTTGTCTGGGCGATTCAGCGTCACACTCTGTATTACTATTACTCCAGAGATCGAGTCTGGGCAATTTATGACGCGAACATGGCTCTCAGGCGAATTGACGTAAGTGGTTGGTAACATAGGGGTGTGTAGAACATAAACTGGATGGAAGACAAAGCTCAATTTGAACAGACGGCGACTTCATCACAATATGTATGTTGACCAGGCACCGAATGTAACCTCGGATCTCATCCGGTGATTTGTTTTATGGAATATGATATTCTAACTAATTGATATGCCCCGGTCCTAAGCTGAGAATATCAAATGCAGTCAAAGATTTCCCACTAAGGCTGAAGCACATGGAGTTTAAAACGTTCACTAATCCACAAATTAGACATCACATGTCAAAAAGATTTGCTCTTTGGGCTACATTGTATCCCTCGAACTGTTTACTTTTTGTCTCCTCAGCCCTTGGTGAAGGCCTGAGCCTCCGATTAACCAGAGTATTTCTCCCATGATACTTTCTGAGATGTGGGTACTGGACACCAAAGCGCTAGACTCTTTGAATAATGAGGTTCTTACAGGTGATTTTCAGGCATCTTCCTCATACCTCGTTGAGCTGGGCCGACTCTGGAACAACAGTCGGCCCGATTGAGCCACGCTTAGGGTTATGAGGTGACAAAAGGGCTGACGTTGTGGCCACACGGAACATTAAACTGTCCTAATGTTATCGTAGGGGTAAGAACGAGTGATGCTTTCGGTCCGAGAACAAGAAGAACTTGACTACTAGCTACCTCCTCCACTGCCGCCCCAGCTGCATAGAACGCTGATTACAACAGTCGATGAGAGAAGGAGCGGCTAAAGTCATTGCTCGTTGGGATCCTCGTCAACAGTTCGAATTTGTAGTAGTCACCATAAGTATCTTGCTTAGCTTCTTAATCGACAGGAAAGCTTTCTGTCCGCATCGAGAATGACACTGTCCACTGGTGTATTCCGCAAATGATCCGTGGGTGGTTCGGAACCCTAGGACGACAAACTACTTGGGTGGCTTTTTAGAAAGGACCGCTGTCGGCTTATAGATCTACCTATGAAAAGCTTGTGCTGTTCTACTCTTGTAGATTTAATTGGTTCAACAATTCTATTTCATCAGATAATACTATGTTAGGTGACGATCGCAGCCATGGGCTGACCGTCCGCAACTTTAACAAGGCTTATGGCGTCTAATTTCGACAAGTGTGGGTTTTGTGATCTCCATGACGCCGTAGCGTTCTTGACTTGTCTTTTCGTCAGTCTAAAAACTAAAAAGTGCGATCATAGCCACCCGCCGCCCTCGAAAATCGCCGGGTTGGGTCGGGTTCAAATGCCAACTCCACTTGGCAGCCACTCCACCAATTGGTAACATTTCCCCAATCCTCCTTGTCCTTTACGGCTTCAACATCCGGATGAGGTTTGAACAGTGAGAACTAAGCGGTCTGTGGATAATTAAATTTTGTATGCTTATCCACATGCGGCAAATGTATAAGCTATATACAGCGGCGAGACACCCGGATGTATATTTCTTGTGTCTCTGCTAGATCTAGATGAGCTGACTTATTGGCCCTTCCAGGACTTGTTACTGGCTACTGCAAATTTACGCAGGTCTGACCTAGCTTGGTTGTGCCAAACTGATACAGGAGGTTCCCCGGGAGATAGGTAAACAGTCCCTGCCATTTCAGTGTCCACTACCACCCCCAGAAGTCCGGCACCGGCTTACGACTTTTCTTGAGATATTGCACCGATGTCTTCTCTTTCTCGACAATCTGCTTTGCTTTGACGCTGTACGCTTCTTTTACTCCCGAGCTAGATCACTCGGCCCCCGGTTGGCAGTGTACCAATTGTCAAACTGAAGCAGCACGTCAGCGACGTCACGCATCCCACCGTAGCTATCACAGAACGACTGCCACACCTTGGGATAGTTCCAATACCTGAAAAGCATTCCCAACTCTCTCAGGTACTCCAACTGCTCGTCTCCAGGGCCCAGAATAACCCACCGAGAAGTCTGAATTGGGGAAGATCCAGTCACGATGGCCCCATTCATCCAGTTGGAGTCGGTAAGGAAGACGGCGAGGCGGCCTTGTTGATCCCAGCTTCCGAGCTCATGACTCATTAATTGGGCGACATTGGTCGTTGCCCCGGCCCAGGGAGCCCGCAAGAGAACCAAAGTGACGATCCAGGCTCAGGGCCGAGTGACGGTTGCCACGCTCGTTATCTGGGCGTTGAAGAACCGCGGGATGGTCTGACCTTCAAATAAATGTTTCGCTGAGGAACAGGATTCGAGTCAGCTTCGGCGTTGACAAGGGAGGAACTTACTCTCGTAGTACTACATAAATAGGAAGTAGAAAGTAGATATATTATTATATATCTTAGTGGACATATATATACAGAAATACCAAATCAGGCTAATCAGTGGGTAAAGAACTGTCGTGTACGGTACAGATCCCATGCCCTAGGGTATAGAACCTGAAACCTAGTGTGGATGCTAGAGCTTGAACCTGCGCCCGGAAATGATCTAAAGGTAGTTTAACGCGGGTTCAGGTCGGGTCCAGCAGGGGAACCTGATCAGCTCTAACCATGGCATCTTGGGCGATAGTACGAGTCAATCTACTCAAACTAGCATACGCAAATGCTTTATTGGCTATCCACCCAACGGTTGTCAAGGCTAGATGACGATGTGTCACAATATCTAAGATGGAACGGAGGCGCAGAAATCAGTCCCAACTACGAAGCTTATAGCGAGTAGAGGCCATGTGCGTTGATGGTCGCTTAAAATCGATGATCCAAATCCTAACACAAAAATGAGTCTTCCGTAGCCCGTTCGTCACTTTTATATCCCCTGGTGCTGGAAGCCGTGGGCTTTTTTCAAGCACGTCTGCTGTATTTCCGATTCATTTTCAATCTTTTCGTAAAGTCCAAAACTCACTCTGGAAGGATGACCACTCCCTCTGCGCCACATTCTACCTTGAGACGGCATCGCCTTCTGGCCCCATCAGCGGCCGTCTTGAACAGCCCAATCTGTCTAGGAAGCATGGCTTTCGGCGACGCCTGGAAGTCTGGATTGCTCGAGTGTAGCAAAGCAACGACCTTTCAGATTCTGGATCACTTCTATGAGATGGGTGGAAACTTCATCGACACTTTCGTGATTACTGAGAAAAGGAGGCTATGGCCCCCTGCTGGTAAGAAGTTCATTGCTAATGAGATGCCGTATCTTACAGTTCGAACAACTACCAGGCTCAGAGCGAGACATGGATTGGCGAATGGATGAAAGACAGCCCGAACCGTCGAGACGAGATGGTCATTTCTTCAAAGTATGCAGAGGACTGGAAAACATATTCTGGGCCTGAGCTCATCCAGTCCAACTTTGGGGGAAATTCAGCTAAATCGCTCCATATCTAGGTGGAAGCATCGCTGAGGAAACTCCAAACCACGTACATCGATCTGCTGTACGTTCACTTCTGGGACTACATTAGTACGGCCGAAGAGATGATGATCAGTCTCAATGTACTCGTTAACCAAGGCAAGGTGCTTTATCTTGGCATCTGTAACACCCCTGCATGGGTCGTTGTCAAATGCAACGAATTTGCGAGGCGTCATGGCATGCGACCTTTCAGTGTCTACCAAGGATGGAGGAGTGCTGCGGATAGAGATCTCGAGCGTGATATTCTACCTATTTGTAAGGCCGAGGGCATAGCGGTGGCACGATGGGGTCTGCTTCGAGGTGGATATTTCAAACCGTGACAGCACATCTCAAGCACTCACAGAGACCACCAGATGCTAAATATCCATCGTACAGACAACAGGCACCACCACCAACCACCACGCGTGGGCGACCATGGGCGGACCACTCAGTCACTCACAGTAGGAAGAGAGGCGAGAGTGTCTTTATCCCTAGAGAAAATTGCCAAACCTAGAGATCTTCCTTTGACATCCATCGCGTTAGCCTACGTCATGCACAAAACGCCCTATGTATTCCCAATCGTTGGCGGGGAAAGGTCTCGCAACTCCAATCTAACATTGAGGCGCTGAAAATTGCGCTGTCCAAGGAAGAGATTGCTACGATCGACCAGGCTGATGAATTTGATGTTGGGTTCCGCCACAATCTGATGTCGGGACTGAAACCACATGGCCGAGAAGATAAATTGCTCGCCAAAATCAGAGGCCCATTTGATTTCCTGGAAGCCGCAAAGCCAATTTTGACCGTATCATATTTTCTGAGGCTCTTTGTCGGGGAGAACTTGGGTAGATGGCCGAGATGGGGTATTGGTGGTTGGCAATGGAAAAACTGTCACCGCTGATTAAGCAGTAGTAGCGGCGAACCTACGGGTCGGGGAGGCTTATCAAAAACCCGACCTCGTGCAGCTCTATCTAGAAACTAGTGGTGCAATGTCTGAGTAGCGTCTTTTCTGTCCCTTTGGCATAAAGTATGCTTTGGTCTTTAGTATCTGGAGTGCCTCTTGTGCTGTCTTCCACTGTGGGATTGCGCATCGGAAAGCATTTTTATATCCCGGTCCATCTGGGTCTATAAAAGCACCCCGTCTGAGCAAAATTTTCGCCAACCGTGTCTCGCACTCCCCAAGAGCTGCCTGCACAGCGTTACCATAATGGCCGCATTGTGCGTTGATATCAGCTCCTCTGTCGAGTAGCAATATTACTTTGCTCTCCCGACCCATCGCACAAGCCACTTGAAGGGCAGTGCCATAATATCCCCCCTTGGTGTTAATATCAGCACCATTATCAAGTAACATGTGAATAATATCATCAGATCCCCACGCTGACGCAGCCTGGAGGGCATTTGCTAGATCAATGCCTGATCTATGGGTGTCAAATCCACCTACATTCATATCAACCCGGTACTTGATCAGTGTTCGGACTATGTCCACGTCACGATTAAAGCAAGCAACAAAGAGCACATTTCCGTAGCCCTCATAGACAGCGTGCGGATTAGCTCTGTGACTAAGCAACATGTCTACAACTCTTCGGTTTCCATTTGCGCATGCAGCATATAGAGCGCTTGGGTATTTTTTGTAGCCATAGATCCAATCGGGAACACCGCCAATATCGGGGTTTGCACCGTAGTCTAGAAGCTTCTCGACAACAGAAGAATGAGATGCAAGTGTGGCGACAAACAGGGCATTGCCATGGGCTCCGTAGATAACATTGAGATCAGCCCCTCGGTCAAGGAGGTGCTGGACAACACGAGTGTGGCCGTTCTTGCTTGCAATATAGAGAGCATTGCCGTCAATAGCCCTTCCATCTGTATAGGCAATCCTTCCTGTGGAATTGGGATTGGCACCTTTATCAAGCAATTGTCGCACTACTTCATGATGACCACCCGCTGAAGCATCGAAGAGTGCAGCACAATCTTCTGTATTAAAAGTTGTTCCGTGATGAAGCAGTATTTTGACAAATTCTAGGTTTCCTTCAGCTGAGGCGCACCTGAGAGCGCTTTTACAAGCAAGAGCATCCACGCCTTTCTCCAGCAAAAGCCGTATTATTTCTGCTTTCCCACAGTGAATGGCTTTTTCCAAAGCAGTTTTACCATGGACCCTAATATTGACATCGGCACCAGAGTCAATAAGTGCTTGTGTAATCGCATAGTGGCCTCGGCCACAAGAGGCGGCCAGGGGGGTTTCCAACTGTGTATGAAGATCAGGATCTGCTCCATATCCGAGAAGTAATCGCACAATTTCCTCTTTACCGTAACTGCAGGCATTCACCAGAGGTGTTGAATATCGCGTAAGGGCATTAACATCTGCCCCGCGATCCAGAAGGATCCGCACGATACTTCCACTTTGGCACCCAGAAGCCGTGAGAAGAGCCTGATTATACAGCTCCCTTGGGGCATTGAGATCAATATATTTGTCTAGGAGACGTTTCACAATACTATCATTACAACCCTTGCAGGCTGCTTCAAGTAGTGAGGAATCGCTCCCGTCTATATTGATATCGACTCCCCTCGCAAGCAGGATTTCCACAATCCTCTCATTAGCCTCTGAACAGGCGGTGTGAAGAGCAGTTCGCATCTCTCTGTCCACGCCATTTACATTAGCACCCCGATCCAAGAGCAGCTGGACCATATCCTCCTCTCCATAGAAACACGCAGCTTGGAGGGGTGTACCGTCGGTACTATCCTCCCTCTCAATATCCGCCCCGTTGTCCAGCAATTCTTGAGCGAGCCCTTTATTCCCTTGTAACAAAGCAGTACAAAGAGCATTACCATACTGGCCTTCCGAGCCATTTATATCCGCGCCTCGTGCCATCAGGAGCTTTACGATGTCACTATGCCCCTCACCAAATGCAACCTGGAAGGGAGTCCCAACATTTCCATACTCATCTTTCGCATCAATGTTGGCACCCTTGTCAAGTAGTAACTCAACAATTTCCATATACCCTAGCTTGCAGGCTATATGAAGAGGGGTTCCTTCGTCTCCATCCTCAACTTCGGTGTCTGCCCCGTATTCAAGTAACAATCTCACTACTTCCTTATGCCCATTATGTGTAGCAACCATAAGGGGGAAGGAATGGCATCCGGAACAATCATCCGGATCGGCATCACGCTCTAATAGCATGCGTACAACAGCCTCTTGGCCCTTCTTGGAGGCAATATATAAGGGAGAATCGCCCGGGACAGAGTCCCAACGTGCACCTGGGTTATTTGCATCAACGTTTAGGTCGAGGAGGAACCTGGCAATGTGTTCATGCCCGCCTTCTAATGCTGCATGAAGAGCATTTTGTGTATCTGGATCTGCTCCATTGTCGAGCAGCAAATGCAGTATTTCCAAATTCCCTGATAGACAAGCTGCATGCAGCGCGTAGCCATGCGCCCCATTGAACGCGTTCACATTTGCTCCGCTTCCTAACAACAGTCGCACTATCCGGACATGGCCCTGCAAAGAAGCGGCTTGGAGGGCATTTCCATATTTACCCCCCTCTTGATTTACGTCGACCCCTTCCTTGATTAGGGATTGGGTAATGCATTGCAATCCTCCTGCCGAGGCATAATAGACTGCAGGGATAACTTCCATTCCCCCAGCTACCTGGTGGATTTGGTCAAAATATGGCCCCTTCGTATGAAGGAAAAAATGCATCGCCATACTACTTAGATTTTCATCTTCCTCATTCCCGTTGGATGCATGGTCGATCCAATATGCGGCGCTGTACCGTGCAAAGGGAAAAGAGGTATCTATCTCCTTTGCTGGCAATGTGTGATCAAACTGTAATAAGTATGCAATGCACACAGACGCAATTGCTGTTTGAGCAAAGACATCCTCAAGAAAGGGTGCGAATTCTGCATCCAGCTCTTCTGATAGTATGTACTCTTTGACCGAAGAGTGGGCTAAGCGGAACTCGATGATTTCCGTTTGCGGGTAAAATATATCTTTTCGAGAGGTTACAATGACCAGGTTTGGGCAAAATCGCGATATTTCTTCTGGGATAGGAATTCGGTTTTCTTTCTTGAATTGCGGATTGGCGCTAAGGTCAACTGCTATCGCATCTACCACTTCCTCGGCCTTTAAGGGCCTGTTAGAATATGTAAGGAGCTGAAGAACTCGTACGGCATTCGCGTGAAAATGAGCAGGAATAGCACGTAAGACTTGGGTGTACGTTTCACACAGTGTCGTTGGAATGGACTCCAACGCCTTTTGAAGCATTGGATAGTTGAGGCAGTCCTTTAAGCGCTCCAAATGGCATGCAACCAGGAGAAACCTACGTTGAGTTTACATTAGTCAGCTTCCATAGAGAAAGATGGCAGGAATCGATGATGAGCTTACAAACCATCAGCCCTCTCCATCAATCGTGACTCGATTTCTTCCTGGACATCGGGGCGACAGTGCCACCTTTCGAACCATCGGTGCTTTCTAACGACTTCTCGGACATATTGACGTATGTCATCAAGAGCACTGTCGTTCTGGATGGAAAATATACCATCATCACCGGCCCATCTCAGGATTTCCACTTCAACTTCCCCATCTAATCGGCTAGTGGCGAGCACATGAACATTTGTTGGTTGGGACGTGACAAGAGACTTTAACCAGGACAGGACTCGCTCCGTTTGATAACATGGTCTCGTGTCGGACTCATCGAGGGCATCTAAAACCACCCAAAGCTCCTCGAACCGCTTTAATATCTGAATCAATATCACAGAGAGCTGTTGAAGGCTCGGTTGTCTCATGCCATCGGCATGGGCCCTGAAATATGCCTCCAGGTCTTTCTGTGCAGCGTCGTCTATCTCGATTAATTGATGGATTAATGACCGTAGCATGGCCTCAAGAGTCTGCTTGGATTTATCCCGGAAATCAAAGTAAAAGTAGATTAGGCGAGGGCTGACTATCTTTCGCAGGTGGTCAATGATTGCAGAACTCAGCAATGTTTTCCCACAGCCAGCAATCCCACATAGCAAAAGGAACGAGTTTCGTTGCCATTTCCATTTCTTGAACCTTTCGTGGTTAATGAACCAAAGACCCGAATTCTGCATACGTCGTGATACTGCGGCGGTATAATTAGCAGAGGTATCCGGCGCATTAAGCCAAGCGTGGAGTTCCTTTTGCAAGGCTCTTCGACTCATGGCCTCGACAGTGGCCGTATTAGTATCAGTTACAGTCTGGATATGTTTCAGGGTATTTTCAACTATTTATTGTTACTACGAGATCGTAGATATTCGCTTGGACGAGACTGACCGTCGGACAGAATATCAGCAATGGCTTTCTCCTCATTAACTACTTCAACCGGGATCTGCTTAAGGAGATCCTTTGCAAACGCTGCTGCAGCCATCGCGGAATATCCTTGCCATCGATCGTTTTTATGGGAGTCTGCATAATCACAGATACCTCGAACTACCAAGCAGGGAAAAGAGTTTACCATCCCTGCGGCCTCCATCTCGAAACAAAGGACCTTATGCTCCCTCGACATCGCGTCCCGAAGAGTTGCGTCTTTCATTAGCTGGTTCCCGGAAGCAATGAGACCGTAGTGTATTGCAGGGTTATCATTCTCCTTTGTACGCGGGTTGCGGAGAATCAGCTTCGATTCATCGTGTTCGTCTAAGCCCTGACAGCAGGTTTCACCGTGGACCACCCAGCTCTGGTACAGTCTATCCTGACCAGGGCAAGGACGCTTGTAGCCGTTGCGAAGTCGGGGGAACCTATCCAATGCTGCATTTATTGACGCATCTAAATTGCTCCCGTGCAGGTCATATTGCGCTCGAAGGTCTGTTATATGCGTGCGCACTGCCTGTGGCGGTAGGTTCATGGAGCCAGTGTACTGGAACCCCTGGCCCTGCACGGCTTTCCCAAAGTCATACTGGAAAACGCCCGTGTGCCCGCCACTAGGTGAGCCGACAACAACATCGCCAAGGCGAATATCACATTCTGCACTCGGCACCCCACCCCCAATACCGACCATGAAGCCGATTCGTACATTGTGGAAGGTCCGTACTAGATTCGTTGCCACTATAGCGGCGGCGCTGGTGCCGTACTCACCGTCGGGCAAGGCTGAGATTACCACGTTGTGTTCTCCAATCTTCCCTAACGTATAGGCGTTGATGTCGTTTGGAGCTACGGTCTGCGGTCTGTCGTGCTCTTCGTCGAGAAATGCCTTGGCGGCAACATATTCTTTGTGTATGGCGCAGATCCATCCAACCGTGTATCGACTGTATCTGGTCGGACCCGACATTGTCAAATATCCGTCGTGGTGATAAAGCCGGTCGTAGGTTGACCTTTATTTGGGTATGTGCGGAGGTGAAATTTATGAGAGTAGGGGGGGGTAGACTGGATACATATACCTCATGAGGGGTTTCTGCAGGCTGCACTGCCACCTCCTCTTGCCTACATCGCCACATACCACACTAATCTCCGCTGCCTGGCCCTAAAGAACACCATCTCACCGTCTTAGTAATTTACCCTGTTAACCTAATCTGGCATAGCCACTCAGTAGTCTAGTCATCGCTAGACGCGACGCGTATATACAACAGTGACCAAACCCCATAATCACCATTCCGACCTTGAGGGACTATTCGTGCCCCAAAGCTCCTTGTGCGCCTCCACGCTGTCCAGATCAAACCCTTTGTTGATGACATTGCTGGTTTTAATAATAACCTAACCAGGCATTCTCTCGGCCTACACACAACCATAGAAGGTAAAGACGGGAGGATGCTAGTTTCCAGTGTATTAAACTTTCCATTGACGTTTGACCAAAGCACTGGTTTCTATTTTCACGGTGCAATACTTCAGTTGGAGTTGTCTTCCCGAGCCAAGATGGAGCACTCTGAATCCTCGTGATGAATTCGGATTATATGTCGATCAGGCTTCGCGTGGTCAGTGCGACTAGTGGCGCATGGCGCTCTCTCTGGATTGCATTTTCATAGGACAGGGGAAGATGACCGACGTGAGCTTAAAATGCGTGCTATTCTCGACCTTACCGCGGATTATACAGTGATTGAGACAAGATTCGTTCCTATTTGCTCTCATCGGTATTTAGATTGTCTATTAACGACAGGGAGTTTTCAAGGTGCTGGCCATCACGAGTTCTCGGTTGGGCTAGACCGACATCCATCGAATTTGTCAAATTTCTTGATAGAAGCAAGCCATCCTGAGAGGTACACATTGACATTGCCTAATTTATAAGGTTAACATAAGATTCGTGGGCGGTGATACTCACTCCTGTTTACTGAATGACTGCCGAGCGAGTCAACTCAGGAAGCCATATAGTTTGAGACCAAGGTGATTCCTCATGGCCACAGGAAGCCTCTCATGTTTCGATCGATGGTGACTCCATTGTACTACTTTGCCGATCCAGAGGCTCAGTTTAGTTATGTCAGTGGCTCTCTCCAACCCCATACAGCATATTTAGATTCATATCCGTCTCCCTATGCTTATACAGCCATCACAATTTACGAGCTCTTGATTGTATCCTTTACTACTCTCGAACTTGTTTCTAACAGTCAGCCCGGGTGAACCACGACTAGGATTATGGGATGGCAAATAGGCCGGCATTGTCACCACACGACACCTCAAACTATCCTAGTTCCATCCTCGGGAGATTGTACCACTGAGGGTAAGAATGAGTGATGATTTAGGTCCGAGAACAAGAAGAATCTGGCTTTTTTAACTCATGTCTTCAAGAAAGACTGCGGAGCATTGGATTTCTCATAATGTGGAGGGGACTGGAGGATCGGAATCCATTATTCCCGTGCTGTTCAATTACGACAAGGAGGCAGGTCAGCCTTCTGACTAAAGCAGTATTTTCTGACTGAGAATATATTAAATGAGTTTTAACACGATCTTATTACCTTTCTGGATGCTAGATCAGGCCAACTCGCCGCTATCATTAACAGTCATTTGGATCATATCAGTTTCTTTCCTCACTATCAGTTCACCCAGACATCATTACATGTACCGCATACCCCATATTTATGTTGTCACAACTGAGAAAAGTGGGGCCTCACAGTCGGGACAACAATGCATATATACAGCAAATGGTGTTTTGTCAGATGTGATATTTCTAGTGTCGATTATATTTGGCGACCTTTCGCGTTTCCGTGAAACAAAGTGTCCGTTCACCGGCTTCTTACGATCGTGTATAGACCTTCAAGTCGACTCCCCTTCAGCGGTTGATGCCTTGAGAATTGGGAAGCAGTGGGGCTTTAATGAGATTAATAATATTCACGCTGGTAAGATCTTTTCCGCCATTTACCGACATTTCATCCCACCTTCATTTGGCGCATCTCAGGAACTCACACAGACAAACCCTTCATATCAAGATATCCGTAAGCCAATATTTGATTTGCCAATACCACTGGGCTCCTCACGATCCCGAACCTAGTAATCCAGTATGGTTCTAGTAGCCCTTATCACAGGAGGGAGTAAGTACCGCCCCGAGATGCCCAGGAAAATCGCCTAGTGCCGAGAATGACAGTTCACAGCCAGTGGCATGGGCCTCGACATCGCCCAAGAACTCGACAAGACAGGCCTCTGGAAAATCCATATCATAGGCAGCAACCCAAATCGCGGCGAAGAGGCCGCCGCCACGCTGAAGAATACCATATTCCACCAAGTCGATGTGACAAAGTACGAACAGCAGGGTGCTGCGTTTGATAAGATCTTCAATGAGGAAAAGCGATTAGACTTTGTCCTTGCGAATGCCGGCATCGCTGAGGACACAACGATGTTCTTTGCCGGGCATGAAACTGGGATCCCACCACCACCTGATATGACTGGTCTGACGGATATTAACTTCACTGGTGCGATTTATACAAGTTACCTTGCCATGCATTATTTTCGCCGATCGCCTGAGGAGACGAAGGGAAATAGGCATTTGATTATAATGTCAAGTATCGGCGGATTATATCCGTGCGTGCATACCCCGGTATACTCGGCGACGAAGCGTACGTATCTAAGACCTTCATGGAGAATCGAAGCTTATACTTGTTAGATGGATTGGTTGGATTCACACGCTCCATGGGAAAGCGGCTATTAAATGAAGGTGTAAAAGTAAATGCGGTTTGCCCAGGGGTCGTCCTCACGCCTTTGATGACCCCGGAGTTGCAGGCCTTTTTCCCGGAGAAGATCCTGATGAATATGAGTGATGTGACCAATGTAGTATTGAAGCTGATCTCTGGGAACAAGGTAACTGATTCCACGGGGACATCTGTGCCGAGCGATCAGCTCCATTCGCGAGCGATCTTGGTTTCGGGGAAGAAATATCATTTTGTCGAAATGCCGGAATATTTTGACGAAGAGACGCAGCTTACTCATCAACACATGATGGGATGAAATGGCAGGGTCAGTTTTCATCGATCCAGGACTTCAACTTTTATAGAAACCTTAGAAAGCTTGAATTGTTATAACCCGCATCTCACCATGCATCTTAGGTCATTGCTAGATAGAGGTAGAATCATAAAATTCCTTACACCAAGTAAAGACCTATTTAAAAATAAAGTAAGCTCAAGACACGATCTGATAAGATTGGCTTGCACCGCCTGGGCTTTTGGTACGCGTGGAATTAGAGTTAATTTGAACCATTCAATTATATATCACTGGATGACGACATGACTCTGTGTCTATGTAAGGCTATCCGATATGTCCCTGGATAGCATGCCACTTTCAATGACCCAGGGAAATCATCCACGTATTGATCCTAGACCTATCTTCTTGATCTACATTATCTACTATAATTATCTTGCTCTATCCTAGTACGCCGGTATGGGCCTCTGCTTCAGCACCCCCCGCCACCGCCGGATGCACTCGGGTATTATGCCCCCTCCCCGAAGACATCACTTCGGATACAGTTCCGCTCGACCTCATTATGGAGCACCTGGAATGGGGCCGGGAGGATATGGACCTGCATGGGGTGGAAGGCACCATCACGGTGGATATGGGGGAGGGTTTGGAGGTAGAAGACGAGTTGGGCGCCGCTGCTAAAGATGACAAATCCACTTTGGAATGCCTAGCTCGAGGCTCTTACTCTCCCCTGTTGTTCCTTTGAGAAGTGGAACCTCAAAAGGTTGTTAGATGAAACTCAGAGCAAGGTGCACTTTCCCTGCATACCGAACTACCTTCGAAACAGCCAATATGGTCCCTCGGTGGAGGAAACAATGAGCTTGTCTTTTCAGCGCGATATGTTTGATCCTTCCTAGTCATTCGCCTCTCAGTTTGTCCATGTCCCCAGAATGTAGAGGTCTCCATGCAACGCAACACACAGTCTCTCACAGCACCACGCAGAGTTGGTAGACACTTGCACAATCTGTTTTTCGCGATCGGCGCTCCCTACTATAGCAGAGTACTAGCTTGTTAAGTAGTTTATGGGAATATCGAATCAAGTGATGAACCTCATCCCAGGTGGACCAACCTGCTTTCGATTCATATGTAATGGATCCAACCTTACGGACGAACCTCACCCCCCTTCCAATCCCAACATCTGCCTCTTCCCTCTACCCCCAGGCTACAAAGCACACCCAACAACCTCTCCACCGACTCTTCTGCGCTCAGCATTTCCCTTCCGTCTTGATAGCTCTTGGTGAAATCCGTCTTCACTGTCCCCGGATGCAGAGCCAAACTGATCGCGCGATCCCCACACTTCCCACCCAAGTATAAGTCCAACGTCTTCGCCAATTGGAAAACAGCCGCTTTACTCGCTCGGTAACTATACCAGCCTCCCAGTCTGTTATCGGACACTGAGCCCACACGTGCGGCCATCATAGCGTAGATTCCATGCGTGGGCAGACTCAGCTCGCCGTCACACGGTTCAAAGACAGGCGACGAGCGCGTGGGTAGGAAGGGAGTCAAATATTTCATAAGGAGCATTGGGCCAAGAGTATTTACTTTGAGAGATTCGAGGGCCGCATGTGCGTCGATCTGGGAAGGAGACTTCTCAACATGAAGGATACCGGGCACTGTCAGGGCTAGGCGGAGAGATGCTTTAGGGTGCGTTTGTTGGATATGATTTGCTAGGGCCCGGACGGTTGATTCTTCTAGAGTCGGCAGGTTAGTTTGTGCTAGGTTACCATTCGGTCGCTATGGATTGAGAACTACCTGTAACGTCCACATCAAAAACATGGAGTCTCCCCTCTGCGGCAGAGTTCTGTATCCCACACAGGAGTCTATGGCGCAGGCCATCATGGTCCCTTCGGGCTGTTGCGATTATGGGGAGGTCCGTGTGTTGGAGGAGGTGACGCGCGAAGGCGAAGCCAATCCCTCGCGAGGCGGGTGTAACTATTGCAAACCCCGATCTGGGGGATGCCATGAGGTATATAATATCACGGCGTATCTTTACAGTGGACAGCACAGAGTGGAAAGGACGATTTGAGGGAATCCGAAGTTGACATTCTTTGCAATGACATCATTCCGCGAGAGAGCTTCGAGTATGAAGGAGCAAAGCCACATACCAAAACAGCTGCGAGGCATGTTGGAGGTGGTCTTTTCTCCTTTGGTAGATAGCCTGGTACAAGCCTTTTATAACCAAACACCACATGTGCTTTCTAAGCAAATGTCTTTTATGATACCGTATGTTAACAATCTTGTGTGCTGGACCATCTAGCCGAGGCCTATAAGCTCCTCAGTCGAGGACTCTTCCATAGCGCATACTTCTTCAACCTTCTCATTACTAACAATGTAACTGTCATTCATGAGTAGAACTACACATTGAATCCGACATATCGTCTAACATCCCTCGTGGTCCACCCTAAGCTTTCATTCCAAACAACGATGCCAGCTTTCCAATCCGTGCCCCATAGACCTTCTCCATAAACTTCAGGTGATCATTCTTGTTAGAATGCAAAGCAGTGGTACAGTCTTCAACAACCGTCACCCACAAACCCTTCTGAAATGCCGTGCGTGCCGTCGCATCAACGCACACATCACTATACAACCCCGCCAGCACCAAGTGCTCAAATCCCCGTTCAGACACATACTCGGAGAACTCTGGAACGAGGAAAGAGTCAAATAAGGCCTTCTTGTCAAAGACACGCTCACCAGGGCGAGGGATGACGCCCGAGCCCAGTTCCGCACCCCAGGTGCCCTCGACGCATTTCTCTGGTTTTCCGAGCAGTGCATTCCGGTACTGCCAGCTAGGCCCTTGATAACTGGAGTTGCCCAGGAAGCGCACGAAGATGACTTCGCTTCCCTGATTCCGAGCATATTGTACAAGACGCGGCATTGTGTTGGATAGTTCGGAAACCACGTGGCTAGGCGTGCTTGAGATAAAGTCATTCTGGTAGTCCACTACTACCACAGCGGTCTTCTTGCCCACCATGGGATCGACCGGCCCTGTGGTTATATCACCCCCAATAGACGGTTTGTCAAGAGTGATAGGGTCAGCAATCGCGCGCAGGAAGTGCCCAACAACCACATCCGTGCTGCAAGAGCCACCTTGATCCGGTGTTGTAAGCTTCTTCATTAACAGGGTTTGTATGGCTCTCTCCGTCTGTTTTTGAAAGCCCACACCAGGGCATCCTCCGTGTCGCTCTAAAATGGCAGCCGCAGCGCGAATGGTGGCAAACGGATTGACTAGACCCTGCCCGGCGATAGCATCGGCAGATCCATGCACCGTCTGGTACTCTGTGAGACGATACAGACGAGGACACAAGTACACATTCTCCGCGCACATAGTTTCGATGGTGGCGTTACTGAACCATCTCAAGAAAACCGGCTGGATAATGTCCGCGTATTCGTTGCCCGCAATGATAATGCGGCGGCCTTGGATGCTCGAAGCCATCAGGTTGCGATTCATTGTGTCGGGCTGGATGAAGTCAAGTTCTATCCCGAAACGACGCTGCCAGTGAGGTGCCCAGGCCTGAAAGACACCATCGAACAGATGGAACTTGTAAACCAGTGTGACTGCCTTGGGGACATTTTCCACGCCCCACTCCTCCTTGGCTCGTTCCAGAGCATATTCAAGAATCTGATCAAAGGTGGAGCGGGAGAGGGGGCTAGTTCGTGTGATGCTGTGCTTACTGCTATGATATTCGTTCTCACCGGCGTAGAAGCCCTGTGCTTCATCTCGAATGAGGAGCAACGCATTCGAGTTGCCCAGGTTAAAATGTTCAATCTTCACGGCTTTTAGCTGATCCCTAACCAGATAGAGAGACTGCGCGTGGATCGCTGTTCGGAAGATTGCAGCGATCCCGTTGGCCGTCGCTGTCTCGCAGAACTTGCGATACTCTTCTGCATCCTGGATGGTTTCATCGGCGATGTGCTGGATCAGATCTTTATCTCCTCTAGACGTCGTGAGGCTATGATAAGAATGGTAGATCCGGGATGATTCAATAAAGTCAACCTGTAGAGAATGCTGGCGTGCCAACTCTTGAATCACTTTCTTAAACACTACAGTAAGCTCCCGGCCAGTCCCATGACCAACGGCAACCCCAAGTCGTAGGTTCTTGTTCGTCATGTTAGTAAGATCAGTCCGGTAAACCTCAATGTGACACGTGTCGTAGGTGAGTAAGAGACGATCAGCCTTTATGTATGAATTTAGAATCAAAGTTCGTTTCATCATACCAATCTGGAATGCGTTAGCGTTCTCCACTACTTAGTACTCGAGAATAAGGCCTCTGGGATTGTGAACCAATTGGCCGCCAAATTCACCACATCGGATGCTTGGGACTCCACCGGACGCTGCACGCTGCAGAGACAGCTCATACTGCCACTGAACAGGAATGTTTAGTGGTTGATATCTTGAAGGGGCACCTGCTGATCGAGGGGATCGGTCTAGACCGACTAGAGGAATCTAGCGTATGAGCTGAACGGTGATGTGGCAAATAGACGCACAAATCGATTGATTCCAGCCGAAGTAGGTACCTTAGGCTCCAGGGCTAATGCACAGTACGCATAACTCGGTAAACATCATCAAGTCTAAATTATGTGACCCCTCTCCCCCTTTTCCACAGACTTGAAGTCTGGCCTTCTCCTAGGTAATCTTGCGGTCAAGCATCTCTCTCCATGTCAAGACCCAACATGACCAAAATCGACAACACCATCAAGTCGGGGTTCAACCTCGGAAACGAGCTTGAGTACATGCTTGATCGAAGCTATACCGCCGCATCGCGACTGAACTACCAATTCTACCTCTGGAAAGATACCCTACAATTTAATCTGCATCCATCCATTCTGCTGCCCCAGGATACTTCTACTCCCCTATGGATCGCCGACCTCGCCACAGGCACTGCTATCTGGCTCTTAGACCTCCTCAAGGACCCAGCAATAGCCCACTACCCGTCCCTTCAGCTACATGGCTTCGACATTGATTTGACAAGTGCACCTCCCCCGGAATGGCTACCCCCACCCATCACCCTGCGCCAGTTAGACGTCTTTGACGACGTACCAAGAGACCTTGTTGGCAAATACGACGTAGTCCACCTCCGTCTGCTTGTCCTAGTTGTGCAGAACAGCGACCCCCTCCCAATCATCCACCGGGTGCACCAGATGCTCAAACCAGGCGGCTACATCCAATGGGACGACCTGAACTACCCCGATAGCAAGGTAGTCAAAGGCCAAGCCATGAAGGACGTGCCGACCCCGGCGCACGATGCCTTTCTACGCTTCGCGCAGTCGAGCGGTCGCAATGACTGGATTCTTGATCTCCCAAACCATCTAGTGAAACGTCATGGTGGATTCGAAAATGCACAGTTACGCAATTATACGGACCGGTTGGAGATGCGGAAGGCAAATGGAGATCAGTATATTCTCGTGATAGAGGAGTTTTCAGCTCGGCTGAAGCGTGCGAAGAAATTGGAGGATGCTGCTAGCATTGATTTGATGATTCAAGGGTTGGCCGAGGAATCTAGACTCGGGGTTGGTTTGTCGATGCCCAGGGCTGTGTGTGTGGCTCGCAAGGTTGGATGATTGATGGGTGTATATGTATAGAAATGTAGCAATGGATATATTTGACGATGCGACAGGACTGGCCATGCAAACTTGCAACTAAATTATGCATCTGCAATGCATCATTAGTGTGGATTATACGGAGGATATGCAAACCTTAACGTCGTAGGTCAGCGAATTCCGCGCCCGAACGTCGCCGCGGTGCAGATAGTGAGCTAACAACGAGAAGAGAGAGAAACTTCACCCTATCCGACAAGGAATCCGGCTATCTTTTGTTTCCGATTGTAAACCCAACGAACTTTGCGGGGCTCAGGAACCGATGATGCCGATCGACACGTCCGTGTGGTATAAAAAGCACATTGGGCCTCGGATTAGCGCGTCAATGCGGCTTGTGTTGGAAGAATGGAGCAACATACCCAGTGGCGAGCTGCAGCACCATCTTCATACAATAGTGAGTTGTTCGCCTCGGCGGCGTGACACGAAGCCTAACTAAGTCACCGTCTCAGCGCGATAAAGCCTGGAAATACGGTGAATTTCCCTGCGTTGGCCAGTGGATGTTTCTCCTGCCAGGCATCGCCACGTTTCCTCATTTTAAGCATGTGCTTGAGTGCGCGCGCCAAGGGGGCGTCGTGCTAGATCTCGGCTGCGGACTGGGTCAAAATCTCCGACTTCTGGCAGCTAGTGGCGCTCCTCCTGAGAGAATGTGGGCACTCGATCTTCGTCCGGAGCTGTGGCAATTAGGGTACGAGCTCTATCGAGATCATGATCGGTTGCCCGCAACGTTCATTCCGGGCAACTTTCTACAGGAAGATGACTGCGTTGGTTTGCCGAAGCTGTATGGTGAGGTTGATATCATGATTGCCGGGCAGTTCCTCCATCTTTTTTCATGGGAGGGACAAAAACAGGCGGGAAGGCGAATTGTCGCCCTGTCTAAGCTGGGGACTATATTGATTGGTTATCAACAGTCACGGCGACAGGCTCGAGAGTATATTCGTCCCTGGGGCATGATGTTCTACCATAACCTCGAGAGCTTTCAGCACATGTGGCAGGAGATTTCTCGCGAGACAAACACCGAGTGGACGGTGGACGCGACAGTGGTGGACTTGGAACAATGGGGAATGCAAGCTGAGGACACTGAATGGATGCCACCAGATCACCAGGGGCTTAACTTTTATCTCACCCGAGTGCGTTAGATTTAGTCTATTGTATGTACATGGAAGATGTCCGACGTACGGTGTAGCAATCAGTCTTATATTATGTCGCGTGTAGTGCGGATGCAGGACCAGAGAAGACAGCTATCCCTTGTGCATGTATGTATTTTCTTGCTTTTTTCATTATCCGTAGACTATTCCACACGCAGCCACCGCAGGAGGTTGGCAGACACAGTTTTTCATCATTCCAGGTATTCTCGAAACGCTTACCTGTGGTAAGATGCGTAGAGCCTCTCAGAAGTGGTCTTGCCCGCCACATACTGGCCTATATTGGACAGTCTCCTGGCCCGTTGGCCAGCGTCGTCGCTAACGGGAATAGAAGTCATTCTTCAGCATATTAAATCGTTCTTCAAATGTACGTCTAGGCTGTTTGGGCAAAGATCAACACCTGGGTGGGTCACCTGATAGGGCAACAAGATTACATCAAGCAGATCCTCCATCGTCCTCCGGGGGCTTTGGCCACCACGAGGGGCGGAAAATGCCTTGGCTTTGGCCCCCAAACGAGTGAGGGACCCTTGAAATTACTGACGGCGCCGGAATCCCCTAGAATTGGTCAGTTCGACAAGAGTTGGGTCGGGTTGGGCCGAAGTGATGACAGCGCCCAAGGAACAGTCGGTGGAGCCCCTCGTATCCACTGGATTTGAGCCTCTAGCAGGCCAATCAAATCGAATTTAACCCCTGCGGCTTGAACGACTGTTATTGTCAAAGTTCAAACTGGTGTGCACCGCGTCAATTTAGCGTCGAGCCGCTCACTGGAAGTCCCCAATGTTCTGCACGAGACGACAACGCCAGCCTTGTCCATGAGTCAATCCGAGGCACAGTATGCCTTCAGCCGCTTCTTAGTCCCAGCCAGTGGCTCCCTCGAAGTCTCTTTTCAGGCTAGAGGTGAGCTTGACCGCAATCGCGTATATAACAGCATTTATCCCGGTCAATTCGCAGAATTTTCGTAGTATTTGATCTTTGCTCCTTCCCCTCAAACAAATCTTCGTCGCCATTCACTGAAGCCGAATAAGCTGGTAGTCTCCTTCTTGTACCTAATAAGGCTCAGTTTTTAAAAGTTCCTCCCTAAGCATCGCCACGATGGTGCGTGTCTTCCAGTCTCTTCTTCTCCTGGCGGCTAGCCTCTCAACCACCCTTGCCGCCGACGACTCCACCACCGTCGTTCAAATTCTCAACGGTCACTACAACACCCTCGCGTTTGACGAGCTGCGAGGCAGTGTCGTGGGAGGCGATGCCCAAGCGACCACCTACGCTGTGAACTGCAAGGAGGGCTCTTCTTCGTGCCCTCTCACCAAGCCGATCACCATCACCCAAGGTCCTTCCACCTTCACCATGAGCGCGATTTACACCATGACCACCATGGGTGCCAAGGGTACTGGGACGATTGTCCAAGACTGCGATATTACCTCGTCGACTGCCACTGCTGTTTGCTCCGTTTCGGTCGGTGCCAAAGTCGAATACAAAGGCCAGTCCACTTCTACTTCGTTCGCTACCACGGCCACGGCCACTGGCTCTGCTGAAGTCCTCTATGAGCCCCTGACCGTCACGGCCGGTCTGGGCAATTTCAACAAGGCCGGCCCCACTGGCGCGGCTGCGACTGGAGCCGCTGCGGACAACAACCCAGCTCGTGTGGGCATGGCTGGGGCTGCTGCTGCTGCTGTCGCGGGCGCTCTTGTCCTGTAATTGATGCGCATGGAGTGGCATCCTTCGGTTTTATATGGTTCGATGTGATCTTAGCCAGTGGTGACGATTGCGAACGACGCTTAGTATCTAATGACTATATTTAATACCCATTCCATGATATTCCATAGTTGATTCTCTAATGCAGCCAGTGGACTACACTGTAATCATATATGTCTCTAAATCTCCTGCTCCATGTAAATTTAAGGCTGGGCCGGCAAGGGTCGGATAGCACGCGTTTTCCGAAATACACTGCAGTATCTTCACGGTCGCAAAGCCCCGGTCAGATGGCGAGAATTCAGACTGGCAAATTCATTTCTCCTTCTGTGAGAACAACCGATTCTTACCTAATTCGAAGATGCTGACAGCGAATCAGCCTTGAGGATCGGCGAGCCAAGCGAGGCTGAGATGCGATCGGCAGGAACTCACGAGCTTCGGGTGTGTTGGAATCTCGACTTCTCTTCACCAGTTGCTCGCGACACTCCGCAGTCCGTCCTTAATTTGAACTGCAAGATGATGGTTGACTCAACCAAACTTCTAGCAGACGATGCGGTTGAGCTGCCCGATCTTGCCCCGACACGGAAACGACATGGCACTTGGGCCTCCACCAAAAGCTGGTACTCCCGAACGGTTCTTCGCTCGGGAAAAGGATACAATCGATTGCCAGTCAAGGCTCAGGATCCGAACCATTTTCATGGATGGCGATTCGGGGCGTTGGCTTCGTGCATTCTGGTTGGGATATGCCTGGGCCTCAACGTCGCGGCGACCATCTATGTTCGGGTGACGTACCCTCCCAGCAGCGACAATCTAGGAATCATGCAGGAGAACGATTGCAACCATATCCATAGCGTAGATAGCAGGCTACACTACGCCCTCAATGTGATTGCGACCGTGCTAGTTAGTGCCAGCAACTACAATATGCAATGTTTGACGGCTCCGACGCGAGACGAGGTGGATCAAGCCCACGCCCGGCGCAGATGGCTGGATATCGGCGTCCATTCAATGCGCAATCTTTCTTTTGTTAAAAGGGCCAAGTTGGGGTTATGGTTGGCTCTCTTAGTGAGCACTCTCCCATTGCACCTTCTGTGGAACTCGGCAGTAGTGATGACAACTACTTTCAACGACTACAGCGGACTCGTTGTCACTCAGGACTTTTTGGAAGGCCACACTGACATTGGACTGGATTGCACCAGTCCGGCGATGGAAGAATACCGGAACTCCAACCTTTCCAGCTATGTCACTTGCTGGTTGTTTGATCAAGCCCGGAACAACCGCAGCAGCCTGACGCAAATGGATCCCACTCGTTGCATTTCCACCTATCAAGCCGGTTTAGAGGGACGGTCGTTCAATATGCTCGCGGTTACCAAGCAGAGCGATGCGTTGAATCAATCGAAAACATTTCCGCCTCCGAGAAATACGACTCTGCCGGTGCTGGCGTATTTCCATCCTCTGGACTATCCGGATCAGATTGAACAATGGTGTAGCGGAATGTGCCAACGATGGGGGAAAGGCAATAATAGCACGAAGTTCTGCTTTGACGAGAACTGGGATGAAGCATCGGTTCCATTTGCTTGTCAGGAGCATAAGGTGAACGGGACGGATTGGGAGCCCAACGCGCTGTCGCAAACGAGCTCTTGGATGTGCCACCCGGACGCTATTTTATATGGTCAATGCAGCGGCTCCGCGGCGACGACGAATGCCACGAAATGGACCATCCTACCAGAGCATTATGAGATCGATCATTGTCTGGTCACAGACGCCAACCATACCTGCCAGCTACTGTACAGTCCGATTATCTTATACATTGCGATTGCATGCAATGCCATGAAGTTCAGTTCCATTCTTCTATGTCTTCTTGTCTCCCGCGAACCGACTCTTGCCACTATCGGCGATGCATTAGACTCTTTCTTAAGGTCCCCGGATATGGTTTCCAAGGGGCAATGCCTCCTTTCCAAAATGGACGACACGATCTTCACTGACCCAGATGACATTGGTTCTGCACCGGCACAACGTTGGCAGCATGGCGAAGGTTGGCTAGGGCGGTGTTATCAAGGTACATCTGTGAGGCGCTGGGGAGCATGCATCCTCTTGTAGGTACCCATAGCTCCGGTGATGGTTGACCGTGGCGAGACTGTACTCACTAGGGGAATTCTAGGTGGCTGGCCAGCATTATTGTAGGCCTCGTTTTTCTCTTTAAGGGCATCAACCTCGTCGGGGCGCAGAACGCTTTCACCATGGGGTTTGGTGCTCTTAGCCTAAATGCCATCGTCAGCACGTCCGGTTACCGAGGAGGCACGGCCGCGTCCATTGTGACCACATCGATCGTGGCGAACCTCCCACAGCTGCTCCTGTCTGGACTGTACTTTATGTACAACGCTGTGCTCACGGGCATGGCATCCGCCTATGAGTGGAGTATGTTTGCCTACCAGCAAACCACGCTTCGAGTGACCCTTCCGTGGGGCGCCCAGAGAGAAACATATTGGTTACAGCTTCCGTGGAGATACTCGCTACCACTCCTCGCCTGTAGTACCATTATACATTGGCTGATCTCGCAATCAATCTTTCTCATCAATCTGAAAATTTACCAACCGAACAACGAGCTCTTGACACGGCCCAACACCCACTTCCCTAGTGCAAGTGACAGCGGCGTGATCACGGCCTGCGGATACAGCCCACTCGCCATCATCACGGCGCTCGCCGTGGCCATTCTTATGTTTGCCGTACTCACCACAGTGAGCACCTTCAAGCTGAAGCCGGACATCCCCGTGGTCGGGAGTTGCAGTGTAGCCATAAGCGCTGCGTGCCATCCCCCCGAAGAGGATTCCGATGCTGCAGGTAAGCCTCTGTCCTGGGGTGCGGTGCGACACCAGGAGGGCGATCGGCCGGGTCATTGCTGTTTGACTTCGCAGGCCGTAGAGAAGCCACGATATGGCGAATTGTATGCGGGATAGGTGAGCCAATTCTCAATTCCGCACGTCCGTACGGGAATTACTCAACGTCTCGGTGGCAGTTTTGGGGAACTATTTACACTGTTATCGATCTATCGGTATCAACAAGTATGCGCACTGCTCGCGCAGCCAAGAGTGCTCCGAGCTTCCATCTTTCCCTGGAAAACTGTCTTTCGGATCATCAGAGCATACAGGAGCTACGGCACTCACTCTAAGCCTCGGGGGCATCTACACCAATGCCGCGGTGTAGTTAGGGAAGTATCCGAAAGACCGTAGATCCGCCAGCTTCCGGAGTATGGTCTACTGCGCTCCCTTCTAATTGCTTTTGGTTATCTGGATCGTGGACCATATATTCACCGTCCAGGGGTTAATCACGGGAGAGGTCTTGGACGTTAGATATGACTCGGAAATCATGTCCTCATAGATCGCGGAGTACTGGCAGACAAGTGTAATTAAAATGTATTTAGACTACAATATGATGATATAACGCAACAATCAATGAGACGTCGCGAGGACCGCTACAATCGCCCCGGGAAAAGGAGAATTCCAGAGCTAGAATTAGCACTTCAAACATCGCACGCCTCCCCCAACGCTGGCATCGCCAAAATGTCCAATGCTTGACTATGCGATTGCCACTAGGCGTGCGTTATCGACGTGATGCAATGCCGGCAGAGTATATCTAGACTGCAGTTCCATCGGGGCGCATCCAGACTTATCCTCGTTATAGACTATCTGGCGTGATTCATCCCGTGAACGCGAGCCTCTCTGGTATAGCCCAGTTCCATGTTTGAAACATGCATGCCCAGGTTTAGGCACAGCCAGGTCCGTTATTAAACAAACATGAGCCCTCCGTTGGCATTGATCAAGCTCCCCGTAGTCCATCTACTCCCTTCTTCGGAGAGAAACGCGACAATCTGAGCAATATCATCCACCTCGGCCACCCGCGGTGCAGCGGGGGTACTTTGAATCACCCGATCCCATTCCTCTTTCTCCTCGGAGTCTCGAAGGGTAGAGGCCCACAGCTCCGTATTCACCGGACCGGGACACACGCAGTTAATGGTTGCGTTGTACTTATGTCCCAACTCTTTGGCCAAAGATCTCGTGAGACTCTCCATGGCGCCTTTACTTGCCACATATGCCAGGCATCCCGGCTGCCCATCCCGCGCATAAACACTAGAAAGGTTGACAATGCGCGGTGTCTTTCCGAAATGGCGCGTCGCCTCCTTGATGAGAAATACCGGGAAGCGCAGGTTCACAGCGATTTGGCGATCAAACGCCTCGTATGTCATTTCTTCGACGGGGTAGTCTTCTCGAGCACCGGCATTGTTGATCACAATGTCAATGCAGCCCCATCGCTCAACGGCTGCATCGACGATGGTTTTTGGCGCGGACAAATCATCTGCTTTGCCTTCGACGGCGATTGCGTCTACTCCGACACTCCGTATCTGCGACACGACCTCTTGGGCCTGTTCACGGGAGCTGTTGTATGTCAGGAGAATATTGGCGCCACGACGGGCGAGTTCAAAGGCGATGCCTTTGCCAATGCCGCGAGACCCTCCGGTCACGATGGCATTTTTCCCCTGCAGCGACTGTTGAGCGGTCATGTCTTTCTATCTATAGGTTTCAGAAGGAGGAGGAGCTTGTGGAAGGAAATGACAAGATTGAACCCGATGGTGGGGGTTCAACAGAGGGGTAATAATCGGATATCGTGAAGAAAGATTATTTAATCCATTAGGTCGGCATTGGCATCCGGTAGACCGGTAAACCAGCCGATCGGCGGGTCCCTCGTTTAAAGAAAAAAGAAGAGAAACTGCGGGGAATAGCGGGGACTTGTCATTTGGTTCCCTGATAACGATATTCCTCACGTCCACGGTATGCATTCCGGAGTCGGTTCGCCTTGATAGACGAGGGGCAGTCGGTTTGGGAACCCGGAGTGGGTGCCATGGGCCTCCACATCTATGAACCAAAGGGGAAAAAAAAATATATAAATTCTGGGGAAAGCCGTGCAATGAATACCTCTTGGGTACGCACGTAAATTTCCCACATACTACCAGACATTCCTTGTTCTCGTACACACGATGAGACTCAATCGCACCATATCGGTTGTGGGCTGCCATTGCGCCGGTGAGGTTGGCGATGTCATTGTCGGTGGCGTTCTAAATCCACCGAACTGCAAGACCATGTATGAAAAGCTCCTCTATTTCCAAAATGAAGCAGACGATGTCCGACAACTCCTGATGAACGAACCACGAGGCCGACCGGCCATGTGTATGAACCTCGTTCTTCCGCCCTGCGACCCCCGCGCCGATGCCGGGTTTATCATTATGGAGAGCGATGAGTATCCTCCCATGTCCGGCGGTAATACTATCTGCACGGCGACGGTATTGTTGGACACGGGCATGGTGAAAATGACGGAGCCTGTGACGAAGCTGGTCCTGGACACACCGTCGGGCCTGGTCGGGGTAACAGCAGATTGTGAAGATGGAAAATGCAAAGCCATCGCCTTTGATAATGTGCCCAGCTTTGTATACAAGTTGGATCTTCCGGTGGATGTGCCAGGGCTGGGAGTCGTGAACGTTGATATTGCCTGGGGGGGGATGCATTATGCTATCGTGGACGCTCGGTCCATCGGTCTCAAAATCGCCAATGAGAATGGTCCGAAGCTGATTGAACTGGGGGAGAGAATCAAACAGGCCGTGAGAAACACCTATACACCGGTGCATCCGGAAAATGACCAGATCAGGGAGGTCACGATAGTTGAGTTCACCGAGCCACTGCACCAGGAGGATGACAAGAGAGTCGCCGTGAATACGGTGGTCGTCTCTCCCGGAAGGTTTGATCGGTGTCCATGCGGCACAGGAAGTTCGGCCAGAATGGCCGTCTTGCACGCCAGGGGCGAACTTCAAGTAGGGGAGAGTTTCGTTCACCAGAGTATTATCGGATCCACTTTCACCTGCCATATACGAGGAACCACCAAAGTCGGTCAATATGATGCGGTCTTGCCAACAGTCAAGGGCAGTGCCTGGATCACTGGCTTCAAGCAGATGGTCTTGGACCCGTCTGACCCTTTTCCAGCTGGCTTCCGGGTGGGTGATCAATGGCATGTCCGTCAAGAGCATTGATCTGTTTGTCGACGTTTTGTGTTGTTAGATGGATACTTTGAATATCTTAAGCATCAAGGGCCTCCACAGGTGGCCTAGTAAGCGAGACACCTATGAGAGTTTACCTAGAACCATGTCCAGGCTCCCTTCATGTTCTGCATAAGTCATTTTTTTCCGGTACTAAGCTTCATGATGTATTGGGACGATTCCAACCGCTTCAGGTAGACAGGCGATCATTCTTGCTCTTCATCATATAATAGGGTTCATTCATCTCCCTCACCAACTGTAGATTGTCATTGGGTTTGTAAACCAAGGGTTTTCATGAGAAGGTCACGATGTGGAAAAGGATCAACAGGGAGGCTGGAGCTCCATAACCATGCGAGACCATAAAGATGTGACTACAGGTTGTCTGTTTTTTTTCAATAGATTATTTTAGGGACAGGTGGAATATATTCACCTGCTCCTATGGCTCAGTTGGTAGAGCGCATGACTAGTAATCATGAGGTCCGCGGTTCAAATCCGCGTGGGAGCATTCCTTTTTCCTCTTTTTCCACTTTTTGCCCCCTATAGGAGCTTCTAAACCCAGAGTAAAAATAGAAGCAACGCGGCGACATTTGTATCAAGTTATTTATTTTTCGGTGTACGGACAGACTTCTTCCTCAGGAAAATACATTATTCCGTGGACTATCTATCCCTTTTGACTCGGAGGAAGGTAGTCCTTAAGCTTGGTGATACCGATTATCTACTGAACAGACCCTGACGATCAGTTTGGCCCCAGCGCTACCGGTGCTATTATGGTCCTCACTAAATCAGACGAGTGACGCATGGCTAGGTCTATCGCTGGGTGAGATCAGCATGCCTCCGCTCCGCTGATCTCATCGGGGGTCATCATGTCAGAGGAGTGATTCCAGGCGCAGAAGAATGTCAGATTTACGAAACCTTACCCACAGCAAATTGCTTTCCGTGTCGTACCTCGGGTGTCAACCCTAAGGCGTAAGCTGAAAGCCATAATCGTCCTCGACCCGTCCGAATAAGTCGGTAAAGAGATGGATGGATATCCAAAGTTCAGCAACCTTTCCGTGAGGATTTTAAGTTCTTCAAGCACGATTGCTACAATTGAACCTCAGGATCACTGTGGTGCGGTGAGCTCCAATTGCCTCTGTTGGATACAGTAGTACGCAAATATATATTATATATTCGAGCGAGTGGTTACTATAAGACACAAAATCTTGTGGAGTTCAAGTTCCGCTCTACAAGTGTGAGCCTTAAAATTCGGGAGAAATTGCGCACGAGGCAATCCTATTGACCTGCAACCCGCCAGAAATCTTGTACAGATTATATGGTCTTCCTCTTCCTCTTCTGCTTCTGCTTCTGCTTCTGTCTCTGCAGTCGAGCTGCTAAAGACTGACTAATCCTCTTGAGAGACGGCTCGGAAGAATAACCTTTTCCAGTTCCGATGAATCCAGAGAGGGTAGGCGGTAAGCGTAGGCTCCAGACTGGCCCTTCTTTGTTTTTCTGTTTACTCTCTTGAATCTCTTGCCCTGGAACCTCCTCTACCGCTGGATTTTAGGCGTTTGTCGGCCTTCTCCGAGCTGCGACCCGTTTCCGCTGAGGAGTCTCGACATTGTGCTACTTGACCATGTAGGAATTCGAATTCGCCGACCGTCACATATCCCCACAACTCCCGCAGCGATGCGACGCGATCGCAGGACAAATGAGGGTATCTTTCCAACCTGACCACACCCGACGTCAAACAACCTTGACCGTCATCGGAAAGTCGGACAAAGATGTAGGGCAACTCGCTACTACCGTGAGCATCCTGGGAAATAACGAATCTGCCGAAGTGTCTGAAACGTTTCATCTCTGATGTGCCCGAGCTGGATATACGCTTGGCCGAGAACTATCGTGGCATTAAGAGGGAAGGTGTTTGACAACAGCGGTGATTCTCGTTACACCCGTTATTGTCCACGGCCATGTGGTCGATGAATTTGCTTTCCGGATTGCTCTGAAGACAGTCCCTGCTCTTGTCATTCATTGGCGCGTGTGCATCTGCGAAACTACTGCTATTCAAACCCCGTGTTGACCACCGAGGAGAGCTGCGTAGAGGCGACGAGGATTGTCATATGGGGCCTCAAAGGCTGTCAGAGGATTTGGCGATCTTCCTGGCCGTGACGTTCTCCATTCGTAGTTTTTTTTAAAGGGCTGTAGTCAATCCCTTCTGGGTATCCAGGAAAACTTGCGAAAGCACAAGGAACCATCCCCAAAGGACGGCCTACTCCAAAGTATTCAGCAACGGTTCTTCTCAAGCAGTGCAATGACTTCTACAAATGTGTTCTAGTTCATCAATTTGTTTGCAATATAGAAGCACATAACATTTCATCCACGGTTCATCCATTACTACGTCGCCGTTGGAAGCGTGACATCCTTTCTTGTCTCTGTAGCAGGAGAGCCATGTTTTCATGCTACCAACAAAGAGGGCATCATGGCTTCCCACTGATTCTCCTACAGTTGCTGAGTTGACAGTGATCCTTAGTAGGACCCACAGGCAATGCAACAAGTTCATTATGGGCTCCAAATTCCGAGGCAATTTTCGGACGTATCTGCACCTATACAGTCCAATGTGTCTTTCGCGGGTCACGTTCATCCGTTGGGCACTTTCAATCCATCGAAGTCATAACATATCATAGATGATGCACCGAAAAGGGACGAGGAGGCGACCCTAAAGTTCTCAAGAATGCGCAGGTGCTGCGGCTCGGGGGATTTTCCTCGTACATACCGAGGTCACCAACTAAGAGCTACTTCTTGTTGTCCAAAACTCTATACTCCAGTCTCCAGAGTGTCCAAACGTGCAACACTAAGCCATTCGAAGACCTTGGCACAGTGCGCTAGACTTCATGAAGTAAATAATCCCGGAGGGGCGAGAGCCGGTTTTCTTCCGGGCGTTCTCAATCGAATGTGGCTGGCGCGTTATCCAGAGCGTCGATCCGTTAGTTGCCTGAAAAGCATGCGGAATAGGACAGGATGCCTCTCGATTGTGTCGTCGCAGGCGGCTGATCAATGTCTCTCGGTAGGTCATGCAGTCGCCAGACAAGCAGGAAAAAAAAAAAAAAAAGAAAAAAAGGCAAAACCATCCAATCAGCCGGAAAAGACCCTCAGGGCTCAAGGGAATCCTTGAAGGAGCAGCCAGCCACAGACACGTTTCCAACAGTGTACGTCTAGCTGTGGCGCCTTTTTAGTTCCTGACGACTAGCTGCTTTGGTACATCCATGCAGGTCGTCGACTTGGGGGTGGATGCTGGGCCAGCCTTGTTTATCGACCGCGCAGGTCCCGAAGGATTGACCACAGAGACGGCCATACATGCCCAAATCAGTAGAATTTCAAGAAGGGATTTCCGCTGCTCTCACTAGTGAGAATCAGCCCAAAGGACTGGACCCATGCCCCACTGGGAATGGTTCAAGATTCGTGCGTAGAAAGTGTAGCTGATATATGCAGCCGTCAATGCATTAAGCGCGAACAGACCGACGATCAATGGGTCTTCATACCTGTCGTTTGGCGGCTATTGGCGGATGTAAGTCATCGAGGAACGACGGGGCATCTTTCCTTTCTTTCCCCCTCCCCACTCCCCAGCTGCAGCTTGACTCCACGATCGTGATGTCGATGAAACTGCTCTTCCTGCCTGCTTTGACGCTGGGCAACGGCATTTCGATCTTATTGTACAAATGATGAAGGCAGTGTTATGAGGCTGAAGTGAGAACTGCCACCATTAGACTATCCAAGCCTCCCAGAAGAGCCTCTGCGGCGGTGGGATGCCTGACAGGCCACAAGGCTGGGAGGTTCGCCAACTTCGCCCTCAACCTCTCGCCACCGACTGGCATTTGATTGGTGTTTTTGTTAGGGACTGGCCCTAGTAGTTGCCTCCAGACATCCGTTTGAAGCCCTTTTTTTTTTTTTTTTTCTATTTCTATCTATTTATTTACATTTACTACAACGTGTTTGATTATCGTTGCCCGAGCTTATGGATTAACAGCCACAGAACTGCAGCAAATAGAACCCACCTGATCTGAATCCACTAGCGGATCATACTAGGGGGCATATGCTCACGTGGAACTGCACGCATGGATCGAGATGTCACTAAACGTGGCATTGTGTGTAGCATTGGACCCGTATTATGGACTAGGATGAGTCGATCGGGACGTTTACCGGCAACAATCCGCAGACGTCATCTCATAGGAAGGGGTAATGGCATATGACAGCAGTCTGCCCGTAGAACGACTAGACTTGAGGCACTTTGCGAGACTGGACAACTGCTGTTCGGGTATGTTCGAAGTATTTCCTGAGACGAATGCCACCTGGGAGCTGGCCAACGAGATTACGTGGTTGACCTAACTTTTGGTAGTCTGTACAAAGTAAGTTTGACTCAGCTGAGATGGTCTACGGTAGCTGGGCTCTTTTCAGCATTCCTGTTCTTATTTGATTTATTTTTGTTTCAGTTTTGACTTTTTCCGCTGACAGTACAATGGCAGTGTTCGAGGTAAGGCTGAGTGGGATCTGGAAGTCTTCGGCAACTCCCCCGTGGGAGACAAACTGGAGTCATGTCGATCGCCGAGGAAACCGGCCGAAAGACCACTACAGTAACCAGTAGCCACAGCATGCATCGTATTCGCTCTATAATTAACTTGAAGCATTGCGGCTATGCGTTGGAAACCCTGGATTGCAATCCGAGCTGGTTCAGGTTGCCCATGACCCAGTCACCCGGGAGGGCAAATATTTTTTTTTTTTTTTCGATACCCGCGGTCAGACTCGTATAGCAAACATCATAGTCATAGTAATAGAAGCTCATGTCAGATGCCTGTGTTTTAGGTTGGGGAATTGTGGCTTGCAGGAACGCGATAAGCACAGCAGCCAATAGTTCAGCTGGCGAATATGCGAACGGCTCTGCACGCCAAGCTCCTGGAAACTAGTATACAGAATGTTACTTGATAGTTTGCACGTTATATGATATGCGAGTCATAAGAACCCAGGCAAAGTTATTAATAATACTTATTTTTTTTTTCTTTAAG